AAATTAATAGTAATAATATTTAAAATATCTTTTTTTTAAAAAAAATAATTTTATTTTAGTTTTTTTAGTAAAATAATGCTTTATTTATTATTAAATTAAAGTATAATAAAATAATTAAAATAGTATAAAAAGTTAATTAAAGATTTATTAAAATTTGGATGATTTTTATTAGAAGTAATTATTGATTTTATATTGATCTTACGATATAAATCTTAAGAAAATCAGCCAATCACATGAAAGTCTTTCTAATGATCGTGACATAAATTTATCTTACACCAGTACTACTCGTTCACACACTTTTGCAGATCACGTGGTTCCCCACTGACTTATCCAGTCTCATTAAAATTTTGAAATTTATCTTGCGATTTGATTGGTAAAATATTTTAAGAGAGATATTGGATCAGGTCGAATATCATATGTCGTACAAAAGTGTCGATGTCACTTAAGGGATGGATCACGTGATAGTGACAAAAAGATTGATTAACGTTAAAGATCACATCGCATCTTTATCGTTATAAAACAGATAATAAAAAAATCACATCCAAATGCCGACTGTTCTTTCCAAATATCTTGATTCCTATATTTCTCCGGCAAACAACCAAAAATTACGTGATTCTGCTACAAAGATTTTCGATATTTACAAAACAAACAGAAAATCTATAGGCTGGTCGATATGGATAATTGCAATTATTTTACTTTATGGCCGAGGGAAAAGTGGTGCTAGCGGCGATGGAGGTGCTACTAGTAAGAAAGATAAACGTGAAGCGAGAAGAACTGGTACAACGACCGTGGAAGTTAAGAAACAAAAAGTCGCGGTATATTAAATTTGCCAATTTTTATCTTCGTTATATGGATTATTTGCGTTTTTGTTTAAATATTTTAAATATTTAAAGAGAATTCAACGATTTTTGACTTTATAGGTTGATCACGTGTTTTATGAGCGTTTAAGGAAGTTATTGAAAATTGTGATTCCGGGGTATAAATCAAAAGAATTTTGGATGTTGATTGTTCATTCTGGGTTTCTAGGTAATCTTTTTATAAATATCAATAAAATCAATACCTATAAACAAATTATAATTATCATTCAAGAAGTATGGTATGATAATTCTTTCGCAGATCATATATTTTATTAAAAAAAAAAGCTTCGCAAGCAGCATGTGAAATCGGGAAACAATATGCGAAATTTCATTCATTCATCTCATTTTTTTTAATTTTTAAAAGTATTCCGTACTATACTCTCAGTATACGTAGCGACACTAGATGGTCGAATTGTTAGCGCATTGGTTAGTCTTAGTTAGTTATATCATTTGTATTACGATTTGGCTTCCATTTGAGCGTACATTTTTGTACAATATAATTCATTACTTATTCCAAATTAGGTACGAAAAAACTCTAAAGAGTTTTTGGGTGGAATTATATTATGGATGATGGTGGCTATACCCGCTACTTACACCAATAGTATGGTAAATGAATACATTTCCTATTTGTTTGCAATTTTCGAAATCTCTACTATTAATTTAACGTTTTATTTTATCATGATATGTAGTTGACATATATGCAAAATAAATTGGCAATACAATTTCGTACACGACTCACAAACTATATCCACGATCAATACTTGTCTGACATGACATTTTATACGATTGGAAATTTAGATGATCGAATTAAAAACGCTGATCAGTGAGTATATTAAGTAATTAAAATCTTCTGTTGCAAGAATTTCAAATTTGATTATTATAACTTATAATTTATGAAATCTAGATGCATTACTGTAGACACCATGAAATTCTGTAACTCACTCTCCGGTTTATACTCGAATCTTGCGAAACCAGTCTTAGACACGTTTATTTATAACTTTCAGTTATCTCGAAGTGTGGGCGGTGAAGCGCTGTTTGGTGTGTCACTAATGGTACACTTCTCGTCAGTGTTATTACGAGCGCTAACTCCGCCTTTCGGGAAGATGGTAGCAGAGGAACAAAGACTAGAGGTACTAATTCTTTATTTCTGTATTACTTAATATTTATTTAATGGCTTAACTGTATGATTTTTATTATAGGGTGAATTTCGATTCACTCACTCGCGTCTTATTGAAAATGCCGAAGAAATTGCATTATACGCTGGTCACAGTGTTGAAAAGACGATACTGGATCGAGCCTACTTTGCACTAATCAAACATATTAATAGAATATTTAGGAAGCATATCTTTCATGGGATGTTGGAAGATTTTATTATAAAATATTTGTGGGGGGCTATGGGACTTGTCTTGTGTTCAGTGCCGGTGTTTTTCACAGTGCCAGGTACAAAGAAGGGTGATCTTGGCAGTAGAACTGAAGGTGAGTATGCAAACAAATTACTGTTAATTTATTTTAAATTATTTTATATATGGGCTGAGCGCAATAGAAACTGTGTAAATTATATTAGAATTTCTAATATAATTTCCACTATTTCTATTGCACTCAGCCCATATATGCTTAATGCCTGAATATGCGATAGTTATTGATATAATTTTTTTCTTAATCTTTAAGGGTTTGTTACTAATCGTCGATTGTTATTAAGCTCTTCTGATGCTTTTGGTCGTATAATGTACTCATACAAGGAAATTACTGAGTTAGCTGGATATACTGCTCGTGTATGCTATTATGATTGTTATGTTTCCTATTTTTATATTACAATTAATAATGTTAATCTAATGATAAATAAAACACACCATTTTATTAATAGGTATCTGAACTCCTCGACGTGTTTGACGACGTAAAAGCCCGTCGTTTCCATAAACAACTAGTTGCCTCCGCAAAGCAACCAGAAAATGCAGAGATATTAGCCGGCCGTGGCGAAGTTATCGAAAGTGAAATCATACAATTTGATAATGTTCCGATTGTATCGCCAAGTGGCGAAGTTCTATTACGAAGTCTGAGTTTTCATGTGAAACCTGGTATGCATTTGTTAATTGTTGGTCCGAACGGATGCGGGAAGAGTAGTCTGTTCAGAATTCTGGGTGGTTTGTGGCCTGTTTATGGTAAGTCTTTTGTGCATAACTATTAGGTAATGAAGGATTATTTGTTTTAATCTTTGATTATTTATTAATGCTCAAGAGCCACATCCTTCAATTTCTAGGTGGTACTGTACATAAACCAAATTCGAAAGATATATTTTATATTCCACAACGACCATATTTGTCACTGGGAACTTTACGTGATCAGTAAGTAATAAAAGAAATGTTATATTCCGAAGAATATTTAAAAATTTATTGTATTACTTTTCATATTTGGTGGTTGCAAGAATCATCTATCCACATACAGTTCAAGAAATGCATGCACGTAAGTGATTAATTCTTAAAGCTATGTTGATAACTATATATATATGAATAATGCCTTATATTTTAATACATTTGTGACAACCACAGGAGGGTATACAGACGAGAAGCTACAAGAAATTCTAGAAATTGTACAGTTAAATAGAATCGTAGAACGGGAAGGTGGTTGGAATAAAGAACGAGAATGGAAAGATGCTTTAGCTGGTGGTGATAAACAAAGGGTATTTGTTTATTCGTTTTTTAGTGATTTTAAGCTTATTGGCTATCAAGGAATTATAATTGTTAATTTAATGTTTATTAGATAGCGATGGCACGATTATTTTATCATAGTCCAAGATATGCAATCTTGGATGAATGTGAGTATTAATAATGATGTAACATAAGAGATTTGCTTTTTTTGGAATTTCTTTATTGAATATTATTATTATTAAAAGGTACAAGTGCTGTAAGCATGGATATTGAAAGAATCATGTACACGCATGCAACAGGTATAATTTTTTTATTGGTCTAATAATTAGTGTTGACGAATGAAAAAGATAACCCCTTTTTTTTTCTTGAATAGAACTCAACATTTCCTTATTGACTGTGTCGCATCGTCCATCACTATGGAAATATCATAACTATATTCTACAAGTATTTGCTCAAGTTTCTCTTCTATGAACCTTTTTTCATTTCGAAACGATTGAATAAAATCAAATCTAAATCTATTAATTTATGATTGTTAGTATGATGGACAAGGCGGCTGCGTATTCACAAAATTAGATGCCGAGCGCAGATTAGCTCTACAAGAACAGAAACAGACACTCGAGCAAAAATTAGTCGAGGCGCCAAAACTGCAAAAAAGATTAGATGAACTGAAATCGATGCTAACCGAACGAGATTCTTGGAATCATAGTGGTACTACTACGCCGCATCATCAAGAAGGAGATATAGTGCCTTTTAGTCTCTCATAATATGTTCTCAACATTGATTGATTTAATAAATGGTTATACTATATAATATTTATTTGCTTTGATAAAAAATTTTTAGCAACTATTATAACACCTAAAACAAGATATAATTAATTTAATCACGCACTCGCGTGAAACAAATGAATGATATTAGAACTCTAACCTAATAAATAATAATGATATTTTATTTTATATGGTTAAAACCGAATATAAATAAACTATCCGATGTCACATGACAGTTGCTTTTTTCGCCGTGACTAGAACTGTCCAATTGGATAAGAACACAATTGCGCAAGTACTTTTTGGAAAGAATAAATTTGATATATATATTTAATGAACAATTGTCGCAAAGCAGTACTTCATCACATACTCGTATATTATTAAAAGGAAAATGAAATGTCCAAATTTTGAATTTAAAGCAAAAAAAAAAGATTTTATACATTGGATTTTTTAAGAAATTCTAAATTGATATTTATATACTTCTGATTATAATTTAATCTAAAGATTAACGAATAAGAAAAAAAAAGAAAACCAATAAATGGAAAAAATATAAGGTCTTAACTTCAAGGATTATTAATATTGTTATCAGCACCCCCCTCATTATTATTGTTGCTATTATTCGCCGCAATTCTCCTTTGTTGTTCTTCCCGTTGCTGATCTTGCCATCTATGTTGCTTCGCAATCTCATGAATCTTGAATCCGAAAATTTTCGGTATATATCTTTCAGTATTTTTGGGAGGTAATAAATGCGGGTATACTTGAAACAGCATATGCGGAAATGTGGAGCCATAGTACGCGCCGTCGATGTTAGCGTGCCGTGTCGATTTTGGGTTGTAGATGTCTTCGCAGCGTGGACAGTAAAGTTTCACGGATTTAGTATATGGTTGGTCGGAGAGACCGACCGGGAGGAGGGGTTGGTTGACACAGAGGACACGTGGGCATCTGCCGAATTCGGCTTTTTTATATTTCTCGAGCTTTTGGTGGCGATATCAAAAAAGGTTGTCAGTTAGTTCTGGTGAATCGTGTAGCTTGAGGTTAGATTCGCATTAATTTATAAAAATAGAGGTTACCATTTTCGATAAACCTCTACTAGTGATAATAAATCGTGCATGAATCAATCCGTACAAGTGACGTGCCGATTTTTCCACTTGCTCTCGCATATCATCATCCAATTCTTCCTCTGAAACATGATAAATCATAGATTTTTTTTTATTTTTGTGTCTGAATGTATTAAATTTGTGTTTGCATACCACCAACCTAAAGAATCTGTGATCAAGTCCAATGCTTGGACATAATGCTGCACCTCAGAATTCAAGCCGGTCAAATTGAACCTATCAATTATGTACTCCTCATCCACTTCACAAAAGTACTCGTTACCCTTTGACGATAAGAACCAGTCTATCCAGTATTTCGTGTAATCACTGTCTGATCCGCTTGTTAGATCATCCACTAAAATTTAATTAATTATGCCAATTAACATTTATTGTATCCTATCATTTTTGCTTGCAATTATCAAACAAATCTACAATCAAGTACTTTTCACGTCTCCGTTCAAATCTTGTTCCTGTCCTTGTGCCTCTTCGTTATCCTCCTCGTCCTCAATGAGGATCGGATTTTGTGGTGAGTTATCCAAAGCGTGACCTGTCCGCAGACGATTTGTTCTCTATCACGCTGGACTAGAGAATTTTCGTCAACTGTGGTTTTCGATGTATTTGTTGTTCTGAGAGAAGGGGTTGTTGTTAGCTAGCTAATTGGATAAAAAGATCAGAAAATGATGATGTGAAAAAGGGGGGCTGTCGTGAATGTGAACTTGATTATTTTAGGAGGTGATTTATTGGAAAGGGAGGAAGGAAGGGCCTTGAGCTGAAGGCTAAATTCCTAAATTTAGTAACGCTAAAAATAGCAAGAACTATAGTTTAGATAACACCTTTCGAATAAGTAGCTGTGACAATAAATAGCAAGTAGGATAGGAGGCTCCCAGACTAGTAAAGAAAATCTTCAACTAGCTGCATGAGGACCTAATGTGCCAACTTGCTTGCTTTTCTTACTTTTACCTTTTATATAAAAAAACTCAACCTAGAGAAACTTTCAAATACAAAATGTGCTAAACCCTTAGATACACCTTGAGAAAAAAGAGAAGCCTCCAAATCTGTGATATTATGGCACACTCTGCCAACAACCAAATTTATAATCGACCAATCACACGTGCGCTCATTTTCTGACGTCATCAAAAAAAAAGTGGGTACAAGAAAAAAATTATTGCAAGATGTAGAAAGATCTTCCACTCTTTTACAATTCAAAGGCGGCGTCATGGTTAGTATATTTTCTATCTATATCCTTTACATTGATTAATTCGCAACCATCCATCTTATTCTAACAAAGGTGATGATATATTGTTGATAGTCTCATCGAAAATTTGAGGCCCCACGTCATGGCTCTTTGGGATTCCTTCCACGAAAGCGGGCACGTCGTCACCGAGGGAAGGTTAAGTCTTTCCCGAAGGACGACCCTTCAAAACCTGTACATTTGACTGCTTATCTGGGATATAAAGCTGGAATGACTCATGTGGTTCGAGATTTAGACCGTCCTGGCTCCAGTATGTTTTACAAGCCGGATAAAAGAGTTTTTTTTGGTTTCTATTTCTGGTTAAAAATGTTTAAATTTCAAAATAAATATGTTAAAAATAGAAATGCACAAGAAGGAGGTAGTCGAGGCGGTCACTATAATTGAAACTCCACCGCTCGTCATAGTGGGTGTAGTTGGCTACGTTGAAACCCCACGCGGTCTCCGTTCTCTAACAACAGTATGGGCTCAACATTTAAATGAAGAGCTAAGACGACGCTTCTACAAAAACTGGTATCGCGCAAAAAAGAAGGCATTCACCAAATACGCCCTAAAACACGCAAACGGCGGAAAGGATATCATTCGTGAATTAGAACGAATCAAAAAATACTGTCAAGTTGTTCGCGTTTTAGCACATACTCAAATTCGTAAAATCAACATTGGTCAAAAAAAGGCACATCTTATGGAAATTCAGTTGAACGGTGGAACGATCGCAGATAAAGTTAATTGGGCTAAAGATCATTTCGAGAAGGAGGTCGATATATCGTCGGTGTTTGAACAGGATGAGATTGTTGATGTTATTGGTGTGACGAAGGGTAAAGGATTTGAAGGGGTTACGCATCGATGGGGTACGAAGAAGCTTCCGAGAAAGACACATAAGGGTCTAAGAAAGGTCGCTTGTATTGGTATGTCTTCCCGCTTTCCAGGTTCTTTTTTTTTCGTGGTCATTCTGAAAATCTTATTTATCTAAATGTTTGTTTGTGGCTAGGTGCATGGCATCCTTCAAGGTAATTTTAGAAATTAGGTTATATTTAATTGAATTGAACTTGATCAATGATTTATCATCATCACCAATTTTATGTAGAGTAATGTATTCTGTGCCACGTGCTGGTCAGGATGGATATCATCACCGAACAGAAGTGAACAAGAAAATTTACCGTATAGGCAAAGGTGACGATAAATCTAACGCGGCTACAGAATACGATCTCACTGAAAAAAAAATCACGCCATTGGGTGGATTTCCTCATTATGGCGTTGTAAATGAAGATTTGTGAGTATTGTTGTTGTCTATCTTATTATTTCATACTATTCGCAATATATTAACAAAAAACGTGATTTTTAAATTTTTAATAGTATAATGATCAAGGGAGCTTGCGTTGGAGTAAAGAAACGGGTTCTCACGTTGAGAAAATCACTTATTACTCATACTAGTCGATCTGCACTAGAAAAGGTTTCGCTCAAGGTTTGTATTCGTATTCACATATTCGTATTTATATTGATCCTTCACTATTTTATTGTAATTTCTAACCTAACAAATATGCTTCATGAAAGTTCATCGACACTAGTTCGAAATTCGGTCATGGTCGATTCCAGACTGCTGCCGAGAAACATTCTTTCCTCGGTACACTCAAAAAAGACATTACTACATCATAAATCATCATCATTATCGAAAAATTTTATGCTTTTATTATTATTGTTCTTTGAAAAAGCTTCCTGTTTTTTGTATTCACATTAGAAAGAGAAGCATAATAAAGAGTATTAAATGAGAATATCGGGGTGTGGCTATTATAACATTATTACGTTCCCGCGAGATAATATAAAGCTCCCTGGTAAAAAAAATTTTGTCACACTCGATAGCCAAGAATTTCACAAGATTCTTGAATTATTTATCTCGCAGGAAAAAATTAACTAAATTTCCTATCGATATGCAATGCTAGAGTATATATATCTGTGTCCCAATTTCTGGGCGTTTTCGACTATTCAATATAACATGCTCATCTTTAATCTTAGAAGTTTAGAACATTACTGATTAATATAAAATCATTGGTTAGTAATATAGCAATTTTGTATCCACAAGTTCCGAGTCTTTTAAAATCCCTTATTCTGACCTTATAAATGATTAATCTGGTGCGCTGAAATTGGTACCTTAATCGCTTTATCGCATGCCCTAATAAAATATAATTTTGGCTGGCATTTCTGATGATAGCTTAAGCCATATAAATTACTTACTTATATAATCGGGTAAAATTATTAGCTCAAAATGACGAAAAAATTGAGGTCATCGAGGTCATATGACATCGATTTTCAAGGTAATAAATAGGTGTTAATTTCTTGCTCGAAAATTGATATATATATATATATATATATAATATGAATATAATGAGTGAGAAGAGGCAAGTTTTATTATGAAAAGGATTGGTCTTGCTATTGCTTTTACTATTATATGAACTGTGGAAAACTACATTTCTTAACTTGAAAATAATTTACGGAAATTATTATTCGGATTTTAATAGTAACAATAATTTTTTATTATTGGTATGACAACCAAATTAAATAAAAAAACCAGAACTTACAATATTTTAGTTGCTGCCGAAGCCTCGTCAGCATCGTTCAAGGCTATCGATTACGCGTTCGATCTCTGTTCGCGATTCAACATTCCATATTCACTCAAAATTATTTATGTGGTCGCGTTGAATCCTGAAATGAATGTTCCTTTTCTGTAAGTTGTAGCTCTTGATGATTTTTTCTCAGCGTGCCTCCCTCAATGATTTCATGTGAAAATTTTTGAATTGAGAATTTGATGCACGTGGTCACGAAGAGTTAATTTAATTCGTAGTTTCTATTAATAAGGTATAATCTGGATCGAGCAAATAACCTTGACATATTGATGGATGCTAAAGAATCAGCGAATAAGATCAAGGAATATATAGACCGAATACAGTATAATCAACAGGTAAGGTAAGATTGAGACGGTTTTCTTATCCTCTTTTTATTTTTGATATTGGATCGTTGATTTTTTTTTTATACTTTGATTTTTTTTCTTTTTTTGAAACCCTCATATAGCTAGCAAGAGTAAACTACCACTTTATAAAACATGAGGGTCACGGGTTGGTAAGTGAACTGATCAAAGATTACGTTGAGAAGTGTGAGCCTAATTTGAATATGTTGGTTGTTGGGTCACGGAATTTGGAAGGATTGAAAAAGGCGAGTATTTCTTCCTTTTATCTTTTGAATCATTTTATCATTAACGTATTAACGATAATTGACCACAAATAAAATAACCCAGATAATGCTTAGTTCTACGAGTGAATACCTAGTAAAGCATGTTCGATGTCCTGTTTTAGTTGTCAAGCAATAAATGAAATGAAGGAAAAAAAAAAAGATGATATTTCTTTTTATATACTTCCTTCTGTCACTGGAAGGGAAAAAGGTTCGATCTGTTCAATGCATGAGCAGAGTGATTTTACGACAATTATGATATGATAGATTGTGGGTAAGCATGCCTATATATCTTTTGTTGAAGTCTGATTGATGATTATAAGAAACTCGCTCTCTTTTCTTTTCCAAGAGACATGCTCATTTTTTGGGTCATTATCAATAGGAATTCATTATCTTGTAATGGAAATGAAATGAAACAATCGCAGTAAACTAATATTGCCTTAGATATTAAATAAAATAAAAAAATTAAGATTTTTTTTTCTATATGTAAAATTCTTGTATTTATTGACTTTTTTGGAAATCAAAATAATAAAATATTCGTGCAGACAAAATTGAATTTTTAGGTAAGCATCATTACCCAAATCATCATTCAATCTGACCGTACTTAGTGTCTGAGCTTTCATACTTAAAAAATCAGACCCCACTCTTAATTCAATACACGCATTGATCTTATCTCCATATTCATAAGCGCCACCAAACATTTCACAACATTTAGCATTTAATCAAAAATTTTCCGGAGAAAACGTCCCATAAAAGATTACTCATTTTAAGTTTACCAAATGCGGATTTTTGGGAAAAAACAATTTGAATGAATCCTCTTCCTGATTCTACACATAAAATAAACCTCCTTTAGGTTGAAATAGACCCTTTGGAATTTTGTGGCGCGTACAATCAGGTGGAATTCGCCACAAAACAATGTAATATAATAATTAATACGCACGTAAACAATTTGGTGGATGATAAGCCCTCGGATGTTTTGATAAGTGTAGTACCTACTATATCTTATTTGGCGTCGTTCACAATAATTTATTTATTTTATTATTATTTATCGATATCCCAATTTTTCTCAACGACCATTTTTCCATTGCCAACCGCAGAATTTCATAGTTTTAACAACGCTACAATAATAACGACTTCTTTTGACAACACAGAATCAAACATTCACGACAAAGTGTGCACGTTTAGAAGACAAGAATCACAACCACCTATCTCGATAGATCACACACACATTCACAAGGTACCTCAATAAATAATTATTTATTCGTCGTATTGTTGTTGTTGTTTTTTTTTTAAGCCGTATTTCCTTACTAAACTGTTGCTTCCCAACCTTGCACGCTTGAAGTACAACAAGTGCGAGCAGCACAACCACAATAAAATATGGTAGACGTTCAGAAGTCAGAACCAACCACAACCAACACACAAATACAACAAAATTTAGAAAACTTTAATCTGACCAGTACTTACAATAAAATTGTTCAACGATATTCAAATTGCCAAGGACGGGATGCTATTCCCGATTCGTATACGAAAGCTTTTAACAATCAGATGCTTGGTAAATTAATTAAGTTTATCCAAACTGTTGCCTATAAAATAGCTTCGCACTCAGTTGGTCTTTAGCATTGAGACTAATAATATATAACAATGGCACACCCTCTCCCTTATTTAACATTACTATTACTACTACTACTACTATTACTACTGCTGCTGCTGCTGCTGCTGCTGCTGCTACTGTTACTGCTACTATTGCTGGAAAAAAGCACCCATTCGGAATCTGACTGGGCTGACCAAGAAAGAAGAGAAGAATGGCTCTGATAAAATATCTACTAGGCAAAAATATAAAAATATGAGATACATGAAGATATCGGAATTAGAACCAGAAAAGAAATTCGATGTCAGTTCGTTGAATGAATTATTAACGCCGTTTCGAACGGATGCTAAATTGAAGCAGGATGATGTGAGTGTGAAGATTTTCTTCAATGATATAATTAATAAATCATGAAATTATGGGCGGGAAAAGTTTTAATGGTTTATCAATATCATTAGTTCAATCCATCAGAAGAAGGATACTATCTCATAAACGAACTACAAGATTCCCTAGAACGTCAGCAAGCGAAAGCAGCTAAAGCTAATGTGATAAGGCTTACACCAACGAATCGTTCCGATAAACCAAAGACGGGGGTGGTGACTATTCGGAAGAGCAATGGGACAGCCGCAACAAACCGAAATGGTGCCACTACATCATCATCCACAACAACTATCAATAGCTCACAAAGTACAAATGTTGCTAGAATCACGGTTTCGCCTACATCTACTAGCACGCGGATAACGATACGTAAGTGTTATTAGTATCAATCCGCATGAACTCGTATCGCTTTGTAATTGATTCTAATAACAATCCTTTGAAATAGCTGCTACACGCATTAATAATATAGCGGAAAGTAATGAGATTAGGAACAAAAAAGTTTGTTTCTTTATATATTGAATTCTCTCATTGAATCAATGAGTTTTTTTTAACCAAATATTAAACCATGAACACAAACGATCAAATAACAGAAAAGAAAATCAGAAGATGACGAGGGAAAAAGTAAAAAGAAAATTAAAACCAAAGAAGGCAAGGAGAAAAAGAAAAGTAAAAGTGATCGGGATGAGAGCGAAGTGTCACGGGAGCATAAAAAGCATCATAAACAAAAAGGAGAAGAAGAATATAAAAAGAAACGACGTGTGGTTAGTAGTCGTTATTTTTTTTTTATTCAAAAAATTTAACAATTAGCAATGATATTTATATTTATATATAAATATATAAATATAGGATAAGGGAAAAGAACGGCAGGTGGTTAATGGCATGGAAATGGATATTGATTGATTAAGTGTTGTTGGCAGGTTTGGTTTTATTTCTTTTTATAACTCTGGCGGCGGGCGTGCGTGCGTGCGTGAGAGGGAATGTGTATGCTGTGTATGGTTGTGACGTTTACATGTCGTGTTGCTGGTGTTTTAGATGTCTTACATCATTATGTGATTGATCAACTAACTAAAATAATAATTATTTTTATAATTAAAAAAAATCCTCGATACACGAATGAAATCTATTTTTTACCTTTGAATCATTAATTAATCTCACGCGCGTTATTATATAAAATTTTTGGTTCATAAAATGATAAAATCAGTGGTTTGGTGGTGGTTGAAGAAAATTAGAAAAATATTACTGAGCTCATTATTTTATCAAATATCACTATCAACATCAACAACAACATCATCATCGCTTATTGTGTTTACCAAAAAAAATATATAAAATATTTTGAGTGATGAATTAGTATACGATTATAGGGGTTTAATTTTTATTTTTTTTTCAAACAAAAAAAAATTCACAACAAATCAACTATTGTTAAATATAACGTAGTTATTAATAATAGCAGCAGCAACAACAATAGTCATCATCTTTGTAAATATAATTCTTTTCAAATACTTAGTATTACGACACACAGATAAAAAACAAAAATATATATAGAATTTAGTTTTATTGGAAAAATAACGATAATGAATGATTATAGATCATGTATGTTTACTATTTAGTATATGTGCATTTAATTTGGTACATGCAATATTCTTTTTTTATTTCTTGTTTAACACGTGTGTATGTGTGTGTGTATTAGATGATGATGTATAAAAAGTATTCAGTATCTAGCCAATTTTATATTACATAAACTGAAACAAATAAATAAATATATGGCATCTATATACATGATGTTCATGAGAATGGATTTAGAATCTTTCGGCCAACACTAATCTTATCCCCCAGCACTAACTTTACCTAATTTAGGCCAATTCCATATCTACATAGATCCCCATGCTCATTTACAACATAAAAAGCGCCAAGCGTCATATTACTGTATACAGCAATTCTCACCCGACCCATCACCATTCGAAGCTGAAAACTCTATCAACTGCAGCTTCTTCGCAACATGATGGTCAGACTCAATCGCCTCCTCTTCAATAGTAATCGCCGGATGCATAGGATTTAGCTCGTAAAACAGCAGATATGCGTTAAGACTAAACTCGTTAAATAGATATGTTATTTCTTCGATTGTGTTGTATCTTTTTACGCGTTGTTCGGTGTTTAGGTCGTCGAGTTTGTACCATCCTTCATCCTGTTACATCAAGTTGATGATCATTAATTTAAATCAGAAACAGGGTGATTCAATTAATCTATCGAATTAAATAATGAAACACATACATCAGAAGTGTATCCAATATAATGCCCCGACGCTAGATTCTTTCCGATATGACAAACAACTGATCGTAATTGCAGGCTATACCGATGCTCGGTATTACAACGGCATGGTTCGTCCTCCGCTTCTGAATTGATGAATGTGTTGAAATTGACGTGGGGAGGAATGATCACTCGTTTTTCTATTCGAAATGGTTTGTATTGGTCATTGTAGCCGTATCGTTTTAAGACTAGCGGAAGAATTAGGTTTTTGTCGGGGAATTGAAAAGTGCCTGTATGGATCTGTTCGCCTATATATAGTAAGACAAATTGAATTTCTCAACATGAATAAAATGAAAACCAAAATCAAACTATTTTATTAATCAATAACATATACCTTCTTCATTGCTTGCAGAATAAAAAGGCAAAAGTTTTAAGACCTGCCATGCAGACACCGGTATTTCTTCGATAATCTGAGATTTTTCATCTTCATGTTCTTCCTCCACGACTTCCTTTAATTCCAACAACCCATCATTCTTAATTTTATTACCACCGCCGTCGCGAGCACTTAAATCATTCCCCACAGTACGATTGATCCCTGACACAATATTGTTATGAAAATACAACATTAATGCCTCTTCCAACGACACAGGCGTCAGATCTTGCGGATCACCCGGAATAGCAATCTGAATTATACGCTCGGTGAGCACACGTTCGTCATTTGCTTCCTCTGTTGCGCCATGGTACAAGTGGCTCCCAAGTGGGAGGTATGGTAGTTCAAAAAGACTCGAGAGAAATAAAAACAGTTCAGAAGTATCTTCTTGTGTGGGATGTCCTCTGTCATCTGTGCCGATCCAGCCGCATTTCAAGAGGTTTTCACGTAAATGCTAGTAAAGGCTAAAGTCAGCAAAAACGACGCGTGTTTAGGTCCAGTTAACCGAACCTTTTACTGTTTCCATATTGCTTGGATATACCAGAAAAAAAATTACATGCCTCGATCATTTGCGCGTTTAAGAAACTGCCTGATCTTAGCCGATTAACAAATAGTCGCAAGTGTACAAGTAAATCTGATGCATCAGAATTTTCGGGTTCGGCATAAAGCAGACCATCAAACGATTGCATTCTAGCAAACATCGCGAACAAAAGACTATCTAAAGAAGCAATTAAACCATTTTAGCTTCTATAAAGGAACTTAAATATAGGAATATTATGAATTACCAATATAACAACTGGTTCCCCGGTCATTCTCCGCACCAACCATACACACATTCTTATTAACCTCAGCGACCTGACCTTCCTCCGCCTTTCCCATATCCTCACAGTAGTCTGCAACCAGCTCCGCGTTCCACGAGTTCCTCTCCAACAGTAGTTCCACTTGCTTGAATTCCATAGGGTGCCCTATATCCGCAAGAAACAACTGCAAAGACTCAACTTTAAGCTTTTTTTCTTCAGCAGAGTACATTTTTGTTGCTGGTGCTGGATAATAACTACTACGAGACGGTGGAAACAAAAAAGAACTAAGAATGCTACTAATTCTCTTTCTTATTTTGTGCATTGAGGAGCGGTTCTTTTTTATCGGAGAATCTCGATCGGACTGTAGCAGTTTCTTGTTGCTGTCTTCCATGCTGTTTTGTTTTGGCTCTTGAAGATTAATAGGCAAAGTATGGGAAACAGTTGTAACTTAGAGAGGGAGGTATTCTTTGCATTACTGAAGGTCATTTATTGTAAGAGACGCGTGCCGTGCATCATTCTACCTGCATGCATTTATGCAAGCTAAGCCTCCATTCTTTCAATTTCTCTTTGACAATTGAGATTGATGGAATTTACTTGTTTGGAAATATGTGTGGAATTCTTTTTCAATTCGTGCGACAGCATTTTGCTATTGACAATGACAATTACTTTAAATCAATATTAATTGAACAAAATAAGAAACGCGGTAATTACATATTTTGATTATTAACCCTAGCCTATTATTGACTTTTTGATCTCACTTGGATGAAACTGAAAATAGGGCCAGATGCTCAAAATTATTATCGTGAAATTCTTACGTCAAGCAATGATAATGCTGTTAAAGAAAGTGAGAGGAATGATTATCTAGAATTTTATGGTGCAACTTTACATTTACGTGGTCAAAATCTGGTGCATCAGCCAGTGCGAGATAATGATCGTGTTTTATTGTGGAATGGTGAAATATTTGATGGAATTGAGGTCAATAACACATTTTTTTAAAATGACTATCCAATCGGTTAATAAATTAATTAATTTTAATATTTCATGTAATAAAGGTATCGAAAAATGAAAATGATACCGAAAAACTTTTTGAGGCATTAAAAGTTTATGATCAAGCTGTTACCAACGTTAATGATATGAAAAACAATAGTGAAAGTGATGGACTAAATTCTATTCTCCAGACATTTGCAAAAATCGAAGGTCCATTTTCTTTTGTATATTGGGAGGTTGGATTATATATACATTATTCTACAATTATCGATATCGTATCAAAAAATAGTAATTTTTAAGTGGTTAACGCTCTCAATCAATAGGGTTCAAGACGTAAACTATGGTTTGGTCGTGATTGCCTTGGGAGAAGATCTTTGTTATGGCATTTACCTACTTCGGAATCAGATAGATTTATATTGACATCAGTTGGTGTTAATAATAAAAGAAAGAAAATCGATGATCCTATTTTGAATTTTGAAGAAGTGCCAGCAACCGGATTTTTTTGCTTGAATCTTGACGATGTTTATTCTTCAGGCTTTGAAAAAACAGGTAAAAGTAATAACAAATAGCATCTTTCAATTTAGATCATCATGCTCTTCAAAATGAATATTAATAGACTTTTTTAGTTATCAAGCAGAATCATTTGAAAAATTGTTTATTCATTATCCGTGGTCTCATGAGAATGATGCAGTAAATGCACCGCCTCAAATAGAGGATGCTAACTATTTGGCAAGTATTAGTAATTAAGTCCTTGTGTTTTCTTATCTAATTTATTCATTGAAATCAAAACAAAAGACATTACCTTTTAGAAGGATAAACAAGACCCTTCCGAATCTTAGTAATGGTGAACTTTCGATCTTGCCATCGTCCATCGAACCCTCCTTTGTGCCAGAAATCTCCACTCAAATGCGTGAAGCCATCAGTCGAATGATTTCAGAACTCGGTGATTCTGTGAGGAAGCGAATAGAATCTATACCATTATCCGGGTAATGAACAATTTTTTCGTATAAAAATAACAAATAAAGTGCTATTGTTTATTAAATCTTGTAAGTTTAGCACATCGCCAAAAACGGCGAGACTAGGCATTCTGTTCTCAGGTGGTCTAGACTGTATTTGCCTTGCTGCCCTAGCCGACAAATATCTACCACTAGAAGAACCAATCGATCTATTGAATGTGAGTTTTGAAAACCCGCGAAAAGTATCATCAGATAATAAAAAAAAGCAAAAGAATTTGATTGATGCGAGTGCGGGAGGTGAACGATCGAATTCGATTTATGATGTGCCTGATCGATTGACCGGTCGAGAAGGTTATCAAGAATTAAAGTATGAAAAGTTTGTCATTTGGTTTAGATGTAAAGAAGAAATCTTTAATTTATTGTTTTTAATCTATGCTTATTATAGAAAGATTTCGCCAAATCGTCCTTGGAGACTAGTCGAGATAAATGTTCCTTATGCAGAAGCTATATCACACCGAAACACAATATTAGAATTGATGGCACCATTGGACACGATAATGGATTTTGTGAGCTGTGCTTTTATTAACAAACGTTTTTTTCCTTACGGTTTATTTACGTGTTTAACGTGAGAAAAATATATAATCTTAGAGTATTGCCATGGCATTTTGGTTTGCCGCTCGTGGTAAAGGTATGGGATCAATTGAACCATGCTGCTATTTTTATAGTATATTCAATTTATCATAAGGTTTTCTTCTGAATTCATTATTATAGGAGAAATTGAATCTTTGGATTCACCAGGGGTATGTATACACTTGCTTTAAATAAAATTGTTCTCTTAATCTGTTATAATAATATTTACCTTCTATAGCTAATGCATGAATATGAAAGCAAAGCAAAAGTTTTACTTGTTGGTGTGGGAGCAGATGAATTGCTTGCCGGATATTCGCGACATCGTGAAGCGTTTCGACGTGCGGGATGGGAAGGGTTGATAAATGAGGTAAAAAAGAATTCAGTATATTATGTCTGCTGATGATGATAATGTTGACGATGATAATTATTCATTTCCCAGGTTCAATTGGACGTGGATCGAATATCAACGAGAAATTTAGGTGAATTAATTTTCTAAATTAAAATTATCAAAATAACAACTTATAGATTTCCGAACTAATATTAATTAGGACGAGATGATCGAATTATTTCCTCCCACGGAAAAGAATCACGATACCCATATCTCTCTGAGAATGTAGTACGATTCCTTTGTTTTCTTCCAATGCATCTAAAAGCAGATATGCGGTTTCCACGTGGAATAGGCGAAAAACTATTATTACGTCATGTTGCGCGAGAACTGGGATTAGTAAATGCTAGTGTATTGTGGAAACGTGCAATACAATTTGGTGCGAAAACTGCAAAAATGACAAATGAGGAGAGTAAAAGTAAGGGACATATGAAAGCAGCTGATTTTGAGGGAGAATAAAAATCGGTTGATCACTATCTTGGCTTTTAGTTTAATTAATATCATATACAATGCCAATATATTAACGTTAATATATATTTATATATCGATATATTTATTTTTATTTAAATTCAACACCTATCACACCGCCGTATCTTTTATCTTTTGAACAATTACAATAATCGTAATCTAATTCTTCGAGCCATTCACGTACCGCCGGGCCTAATTTGGCTTTTCTATTTTGTGAATGATGACCTGTTCCAGTAACAATATAAATCGATCCTTTGTAATTTTCGAGTTCTAGTGCTTCAAAAGATTCCTTTTTTTATATATGTACATATATTATAATAATAATAATATTATTATTATTATTAATAGAATTTAAATATTTAGGCAATCAATTTAAGGGAAATATTACAAATAAAAACGATAATGGTGTAAATACTTGCATCCAAAAATTCTATCGCCTCGTCCACATGCAACCCGTGTAAATCTATAAATGGTTCTTTGCAGTATGCATTATTTCGAGAATCAAAGATTTTTCTTGCTGCCTAAATAATCAAAACTAAAATGCTTCAATTAAAATCCCAGTGAAAATCATTGAAAATCGTCCTTACCTCTCGATTTAATTCGCGCATTCGTAAGTTATATTCTTGCGCTTGAAGTGAATATTTTTTTGCTAAATCTCCACGATTTGATTTATATGAACTAGCTGCACGCTCGTATAACTAAAAATAAATAAAAGTGTAATTACATTAGATAGTCTTTTTGATCTCCACGACAAATACACTTGGATTTAATTCTTTTTAAGGATATGAAATCACACTTGCAGCATTACGTTTCCGACCGCAAGCCAGTGCTTGAGATCGATATTTTTTGTATTCAGCAGATAAAGCGCTTCCGGTTACAAGCCAAGGAATATGTTCCGGCGGTTTGATGACAAGAGCAGCACGCCGTCTCTTTGACAATGATGGTAATCTGGCAGGGATTGCCTTCGTAAGGACAAAATTTGTAGGTCGCGGATATTTTTTCTCTAGGATAGCAGCTGTCGCATCAATTTTATTTTCGTGTGCGGCGAGATGCGAATTAATTATATTAGAGTCTATCCAGGGAAATTGTTCAGATAATCGTCGACGTTTGACCACATTAGCAAATTGCGATGGTGAAGAAAAAGACGATGCTGTTTTTTTGGTAATTTGAACTGTAGATGAGGATAAAAGATCAGGAAATGCTGATTTATCAAGAGCATCCGGAATCGTATGGTTTACTTGTCCATCAATGTAGTTATTGTATGATGCATCCAACGCATTACGTACTCTATTGAGATCAATCTCGTGAATAAAGATACAATTGTCGCCAGCTAAACAGCTACCACGCATCCTAAAGTTATGCATGGTTAATCCTTCTTGACATTTATTCATTTCATCACTTATATCATATTTTGAGTCATCTTAACCAACCGACAAGCAGCAGTTTTTTCAGGGCAAGGAAATATTGAAATAGTCGCTTACCAAAACTTGCAGATCACATTCTGCAAATCATGTGAAAACATGCAATCTTTACGAAAACAAGTTCCCTCAAGGAAGAATCGACACATTTGTTTTCCCTTTTCTTTCGTTAATGTGGTTGATGATGATGATGATTTAGTTACTACAGCAGATACGGTTGTATTTCCGATATTAAGTAACTCATTCAAAGTGCACTCTAGATCAAAACTACTTTGTTCAAAAATTTTTATTAAATGATCCGGCTCAACATCCGTGAATATTTGATGCAGTAATTCCGTCGGAGACATATTTAAGTAAAGATCACTTTCTTCTTCATCTTCATCGTCATATAAAGATCCACTCAATTCATAATCTTCATTATCTCCTGACATTGAATTCTCATAATTTTCGACAAAAGTATTGGGTATATCATTGTCATTATTCTCTTCCTCTCGTGTAAAACCATCGGATACAGGGTTATCATTCGCTACAAGAAAAGAAGGTTTGAATTCTTTGGCTTTAGGATTTAACAAAGATATAAATTCAACAGAAGCCAAATTCGACGAATTAGTATAATTTGAATCTAAATTTTCATTTTCGAATCCACCAATATTTCCTTCTTCTTGCTGGCTTGGATTCTGATAGTTGCATAATATTTCATTTAATGCTTCCTCAATTTTATCTTGCGACTATATTATATAACCAATTCCTCGTAAGAATAATGAGAATGAATGCAATTTTCCAAATTTAAAATGCCAAAGTACCGTCAGCACCGGGCTACCACTCTCGCTCAAACTTTCTCGTAAGACTGCGAGTTTCTCTTCATTTGATAAATCAGGGTCTTCTAGTATCCCAGTGTAGTATTCAACTAATACCTCGTCGTGCAGTTTCAAAATATTTTTAAAATATGTTGTAAGCCAACCTCCCATTGTCTTATGACGATAGACAGTCTAAAACTATTCAGCATTTATTTATCGTTATGGTGTAACTCAACGTAGAAATTACATGTAATGTGAAAACACGAGCCCTCGCCTAACCAAAAGATAATATGCACTCATTCCAAACTCATAAACTATTAACATCATCAACAACAACAACAACATCATCATTAAAGATAAATAATATCATCCATGGAAGGAAGACAATATCCTCCTTCCTACAACCAAAAACATTTTTACACGCGTCACAATACTCGTCGCGTACATTAATATCAAAAAGAACCGCAACAATTACTGATAAGCGTCTTACATCACAAATTATATTACGTTATTTTGCTACAGACAATAATGATAAGAGTGGTGGTGATGATGATAGTAGTAATAGTAGTAGTAGTAGTAGTAGTAGTAGTAGTAGTAGTAGTAGTAGTAGTAGTAGTAGCAAATCCATCAATACTAAACAAGGAGATGATGATTTCGATGACTCGAGAAATAAGCCTTTTTATAGGTGGGTTCCAGCAAAACCACATTTGCTAGTTGATCAATTTTTTGACAAACCACTCACCCAAACACCAAAACCCATTGTTTCTATATCCACATCGACAAACTCAAAATCATCTGATAATAATGATGCGATTCAAAGAACCACGGCGGAACGAGAAGGAAGTAAAATGTTTGAATTCTTGTTAAAGGAAAAACCTTTACGCAGAAATTTTCGAAATCCAGATGAACAGCTCGAGAAAACGAATATGGAATCATTTACACCATCGGAATCCTTAATATCTACGTCGTCTTTGCTCTCAGAATCATTGGAGAAAACTCAAAGAGAAATTGATGTTGATTACATCGATAAATTGGGAGAATATGTTTCGAATAATCCTCAACCTTCGCCCGTCATTCGTTCTCCCATTTCACCTTCATCGCCGAAATCTCCTGCAACTGACTCGACTTCTCTTTCCAGCGATATTCCTCCATTATCTTTACCCACACAAGACACTACAACTATAAAAACCCCAATAAAAGCTGATCCAGTCATCACACATGTAATAAATATGATCATGCGAGATGGGAAGAAAGAACGTGCAAAAAAGCTTTTATTAATGGCATTTCGACAAATTCGGTTGCATACCAATAACAATCCAGTAAATATTATCAAGGAGGCTATAGAAATTGCTGCACCCCGTGTTCGTATATTCAATAAAAAAAAAGGTTCCAAAGTTACCCCGGTGCCTGCGCCTTTGAATGAACGTCAACGTCATCATCGTGCAATTAAATGGATTTTAGAAGCGAGTGATAATCGACCAGAAAAAGATTTCGGTGTGAGATTTGGGATGGAGATTTTAGCTGTTATTAACGGCGTTAGTAAAGTTTTGGAAAGGAAAGCTCAAGTGCACAAAATGGCAGTGGCTAATCGTGCTAATTTACCAATCAAGTGGTAGATAATACATCTGAATATATTATGATGTGGTTGAAGAAATTGATTCTTCGAAATTATACAAATCATTGGATTATTGTAAATTTTTCATATAAAAAAATCAATATTTGTTTTCCTGTTGAAAGTCAGACCTCATACACAGCGTCACCTATAAAAACTGATTTTGATTTTACATGTCTATTTGTCCCAAAAAACTTTTGGATTTATAATATCAAGTGACTTACTATAAAACTATTTAAATTGAATCACTCGTGCTACGTGTATATTATATCTGATATTATATTTGTGTACTTTGTAAAATATATTTGACCCTGGCGTTCGATTGATTGGTTAATTTGTAAAATTATTTTTAGACAGACAAATTTAATCAGTCTCTTATAAATAAAAGACTTGATAGAATTCACAACTCAAAAATGGTAAAGTTAAAAAGTTCACTTTATTATCGAATGAATGGCTTGAGTTGAGTTAATAAAAACCAATGAACTTTCTCTAGTCAGTAACTTTACACACAGACCTTGGCGACTTGAAGATTGAAGTATTTTGTGAAGCAGTCCCAAAAACGGCAGAGGTTCTTAATACCTTTTGCAAAATTTCGCATTCTGTTATCTCTCCAAATATTGTTCTCACGTTCTGTATTTTCATTTATATATAAATATAGAACTTTCTAGCTTTATGCGCTAGTGGATATTACGACAACAACTTGTTCCACAGGTAAATTTCCTTTTATTAACATAACAGGTAAAAAAAAAAAAAAAAAAAAAAAATGAAAATTCTTACAATTTGAATTATTGTAAAGTATGTTTTATTTTACTATTATTATAAAATAAACAAAGTTTTGGATAAAAATATATGATCAAACTTTTCATGCTGGAAAAAAAGAAATATAAAATCATTTATAGTGCAGGTGAGTTTATATGTTAATTAGTAGACAGATATTTATACTTGATGAATTTGTCTAATTAATAGTTTATATAATAAAAGACAGGTGATCCTACGGGAACAGGAAAAGGTGGAAATTCTATATGGGGGCGAAAATTTGCTGATGAGATCAAGTCCTCATTAAAGGTTGATTTTGAAAAGTTACAATTCAAAAAAATATGCGATTGAATTGTCATTTATTCTTCAAAAATTTATTGTATAATAAATAGCATAATGCTCGAGGTATCGTCTCAATGGCCAACAGTGGTCCAGATACTAATGGTTCGCAATTCTTCATCACTTATACAAAATTGCCTCACTTGGACACTAAGTATACAGTATTTGGCAAGTGAGTTTCGTTTCCACGAGAATAATAATAAATAGTTTAAATACTCATATCGATTCTCTTATATTCTTTTGTTATTTTATAGAGTCATCGATGGCATAGACACTACTTTGGATGCCATCGAGAAAGTTCCAGTTGACGAGAAAAATCGTCCTATACAGGAAATACGAATCAAATCGGTGACTATTCACGCTAACCCGTTGGCCGAATGATTAATTATTGCTTTTTATAATTAATTAAAGGTTTCTCATTTTGTACATAAATTAAAAAAGAATATAATCAAACACTTTTCATTAATGGTTTTAATTTTACACCTTTTTTTTACATAATTGACACCTCCATTTATAGATCCCAGTAGTTTCTATTGAGTTTTTATAAATATTCACTCTCTTAATAAAAAATAATAAATTCATTCACTAACGATGATTATTATTATTGTGGTTTTTGTGTGTTAATGAATTCAACCAGCGTCGACAATAAACAGCGTACGAGCATGCTAAATTCCTATTATATAAAAAATTTAAGTAATTAATCAAGAAAAATGCTATATATAAAATAAACCATTTCTTACCGGACACGGTTATTTGTAATTATTTCATCCTTGTCAGTGGTATCGATCTCATTCTCAATATTTGAAGATGATTCTTGATCGATCTCGTCAATAATTCTTTGAGAAATTGCAAGAGCTTTTGAATAAAGTCTATTTCGTATCTGTGCATAAGCCAATTTAATCATCACCGTACGACGAATTATTACCGTCTCTTGGAACGTCATAGACGAAAATGTTCGTCTACTTGCATCCTGATATTTTTGATGCTGTCGTGGGATTTCAACATTTGAGGTAACATCAAGAGTGGAAGGATTTGGATGATCATTGCTGTTGTTGTTTAAGATAGGATGAATCAATGCGTTTTGGAAACTTGATATGGCGTAATCCAAGAGAGGACGGTGTGGATGATGATGATCCCTTTGAAAATACGATATCGTTCGTTCTTAGAGGAACATTTTTAATAATGTAATTTTTTCGTACTTTTATCTGTGACTAAGCAACAATAAAAACAATAGACTTTTATCAAAAGTTTTCAAGTTCATACTCACACATCACCCGGATCTGGTGGAAAGCTGCCAGAAACGGCGGAAAATCTTTCCTTATTAACGATTTCTTTACCGCCAAATGATGTAATCTATTCGTGGTAGTTTAATCACATATTTTATGAGTTTGAAGAAATTAGGTTTCTTGCAATCAAATATTAGTACCTGGTCGTATATACTTAGACAACATTCTCCTATTCGAATCCAAACCCATGGTGAGGACTGGATTTCGCGCACTTCAGCGGCTTTCTCAAAGCATTGTAAAGCATTCTCATACATTCCATTGGCCAAATAACTCAATCCTGTATTGAAGAGCAACGAACTTGACGCGTCGACAATACAACGTGGGAGAAAATGGCAATCTCAATTCGGCCAAGAAATGTTAAATATTAATATGAATCTTTTTAAGTATAAAAATGGTAATAAAAAAAAAGATATATCTATTACCATCTAACTGATCAGATAACTCATCGTTTCCATATTTTTCAAGCAAATCTGAATTATATTTCCTAGCCTTTGAAAAATATAACGAAGCCAAAGCAAATTTTCGTTGCATGAAATGCAGACAGCCTATATTATTATAATAAAGTTTTATCCATTGTTCACTTTTTAACAAGCCCATTTCATGTCGATTAGCTCTAGAATCAACTTTGTTACATGATTCCATGATTTTGAATGATTTCTGATAATTCTTTCGCAAGTACTCCGAATAAGCCTCACGATATGCTCTATTCAATTCAGACTCGATTCCAATATCCGAAATATTATAATCAGGAGATTCATTATTGGTTATTATCTTAGAAGAGTCATCAGAATCTACTAATTTATTATTCGACTCAATATGTGAATTTATATTTGCGTGTTGTTGTTGATAGTTATATTTTGTTTGGTCAACTTTGTTATGGTACAGCGCGTTAATACGTTTTTTAAGAGCATGGAATGCAAACTCTGGGGAACCATAATTTGAAGGGACTGTCACCAAGATATTCGGAAAGACATTAGATATCGAAACTTTATCGTCACTTTTCACTTTAGTTGGCCCTTCTGGTTGTTTTTCTTTTGTTTGTATTCTATCGAAGAGAAATTTCCCTTGATCATTGCAGTGGTCAGCTCTATTATATTCTGAATTTTTGAGAAGTTTTTTATCTCTCTCTTCAAATAATGAGTTCTTATTAGACTTGGCATCTTTTAATTTTAATTCAAGCCATTTGAGAACTTGAGATGCCTTATTCGGTTCACATAGTTCAATATATACCTCCATCAATAACCAAGACATTCTACACGCCACATATCCTTCCAATCGATCAATATTATCACGCAGAAAAGGCTCAATGATACCACGAGCGCCTTCGTATCGCTTCAATTGAAAATAAATAACAGCCTTATTATAGAGGGGGATTGCTTCATCAATGAAATGGGGAATATTCTTTGAAAAAGAAGACCGATAAGATCCTATCCCATTGGTTGCTTCATCTTCTTCTGAAGCAGCTGCATCCAAATCTTCATCTGTATTCACTAAATGTTCTTGTGTCGTCGCCGAGGAAATATTCTGTTTCTTGTAGTGTTTATTGTTTTGTTCTTCAGGAAATGAAAAACTTGGAACATTATCACACTCTAACTTATTGTTCACCAAATTTATATTAGTTAGCTCACCACTAGTAGTAACCTCCGTTTTCTTATCCCTTATTACACCATATGCCGATAATGCAACACCACCAGAGGCATTATTCGCTTGTATTTTTGACAGCACATCTTCTAATGCCTCGTATAGTGCTTGGTGTTGCAATGTGTTACTTTTATAGTATCGAGTAACCGCAAGGTTATGTAAAATTATCGGATCAATATTTTCTTGTTCCTGAATTTTTTTTTCTTCTGTTCCTTCTAAATTAATCGTCGTCGTAACCGTTGTTTCCGGTCTACCCGCTAAAAGTTCCAGGGATTCTAAAGCAGCATCATATTTACGTTCACAAAAGTATTTGGTTGCTATGCTGGCAATTTCTTTATCAATAGAGGTCATGACTTTTGATAAAATAAGTTATTCTTTTCTTGCTCGTCGTCTTTGTTGTTCCCCATTCTGATGTCTGATGGCCCGTTAAAATTATTCGAGATTTATCATTCCGATACTATGTGGTGTGACTTACTTTAATCCGATTATGCAAAAAAGCATAAATTTGTGGTTTAATTTATTTTTTATCGATATCGAGATCAAAAATTTTATTTTAAATATGACGTGTAATGTAATGTGATGTGAGAACAATAAATACAAAATTTTACGCAAATTATCAAAATTTTTGTTCAATTTAAATTAGGTGAATAATTCCATGGGAGTAACCGAATCAAAGATAACAGAGCCTTGCAATTCTTCCTTTTCAAGAAAATGAGTGGGGAATTCAACGAGATGGCCCCTGACTTTTGACAAACGTGCTTTGACTTCCTCGAGCGGATAATCTTTCTTAAAGACATGGCCAAGTGGAATATTTTCACGATCTGGCGAAAATTTTTTATATTGATCCCATGTAGTAACTAAATAAAATAATAAAATTAACAAAGACTCAACAAAATTCATATATCAAAAAAATTGGTTGATAATAAATTTTAAATATATTCTTACCAGTGTCATCAGGGAAACAATGGAAAACTTCACGGAAAGCTTCTGTGTTAATCCTGGCTCGAGAATTCCAGTATTCGATGAATCTATCGCTTACAGGATCTTCAACGATTTTATCTTCATCAGTGAGCGTTAAAACAGACGGGTCGAATGGGTGTGGTGGTGGATGACATTTCAGAGTTATTTTATCATGTTCGTGGTCTTTGAGAAGGCCGAGATGTTCCTTGAATAGTGTACGACGAAGTGTGGCAGCGAATTTGGCGGCTTTGTACTTTATCACGATTGAAAAGTTAATAAGATATTTAATGTTTTATTTATGGAATGCAGTTAATAAGTGTTTCCTTTGAGATACTTACGGGACGACCTGCAAGCTCGGAGTTTATTGTGTCGGTATCTTCAATAAAGGCAGCAATTTCCGAATCATGGTCTCCAAGTTGAGATCGATCATTTAAATTTGCTAATTGATGAACGATTCCAAAAAATTTTCCATTAAATATCCATTAGTTTAAATTATTGAAGATCTTGAATAACGACATACCAGAACCAATAATAACATATTTATCGTCAGCAATTAGAAGTTTAGTATGAATATAAAGTTCCTCGGTGACATAGTTGCCCGTTGCATCTTCATCAACAATACCAACTGGCATAACCGGTTCTGAACCTACAGCAGATTTATCAATTGCTCCAAGTCCTTTCTCAACCGCAACTGGGTTAACACGATCGTAATTACGTAGAGAAAAGAATCCAATGTATTTTGATGGGTCAACGTTTGCTTTTTGGATTTCTTCGAATATTGAGTGTCCGCCACGGCAGATCGATTTGTATTGATAGTGCATGACGAGTCTGATATGTTGTATATAAGCATCATTTATTATATATAGAAAATGAAATAAATATAGAAATAAAAAAAGAATAAACGTACCGAAGAGTACCAGCATCTTTAGAATCGACTTCACATGGGAAAGCAGGAAGCAAAGGCATACACACAATGATTCTGAATTTTTCTTTATTCTTTGCGGCTTCCAAAACTCTTTCTACAATTGCCTGTTTAATCATATCAAAGTAACTTCAACTCAATTAAAGAATTTACAGAAAAATTAATCAATTTGATTTTGATTTTACCTTTCCAATAAGATTTTTGACAGGGAATTTATCGGACTCTGTGGTTGCAGTGACTGTTTACAATACAAAGAAAAGGAAATTTAGTACTTTATGCATTTTGTTTATCAGTAATGAAAAATTACACTTACTAAAGAATTGATTTTCAATATAAATAAAGTGTTTAGCATTTTTGATTGCGTGAATATATGCGTTTTGAATCGATTTCTGAAATAAATTTCGACTTAGAAAATTTTATAACAAAAACCTCAATATATGCCATAATTTATATATGTACCTCAGTCTCAATTCCATGACTCCATTTTGAACTACTTCTCAAGATCTGAATATTAACAGATCCATTATAACGATGTGCCTGGATATTTTTTCCAAAATATTCGTAATTTTTCGATTTCGGCGGATCCTCACGATCATGTTGTGCATCTGATTTGTAGACCAAAATTTTGATTTCTGGCCGATTTTCGGCTTTTTCCTTCTTGATAAAGTTCCAACGCTCAATAAAGTGCTTGGCAACATCTTGAACCGGTCGACCAATCTTTTGTATAGGAAATTATTGGATAAGATATTTATGATGAACAAATAGTTAAATGACAAAAGAATTATTCGAATTTTTGATACTTACAAAGCCGATTGAAATGTCGTGCCAAGGCATACGAGCAGTGTCTTTTTTACTGATCAATGTCTTCAAGAATTCCTTAACTATAATAGAAAAATTAACATGATTATCATCGTCTATTCCATATATAAAATATAACAGCAATAAAATACCATCTTCAAAGTCCTTTATCCTGGGGTTTGAATAATCTTGACCGGGCCAAATTTCCACATGACTGGAATGAGGATGGAAATCAGCAAGTTGATGTTCACTGGTATCGTATCGACCAAAACACAAATCCAATCCTCCGATGAAGGCGATATGTCTATCAACAACACATATTTTCTATGAAAAAATAAAAAAAAGAAATTCTAGAAATAAAAGAATTTGAAATTCGTAATACTTTATATCTATATAAGAGATGTTCTTTACCTCATGATGCTATTATTATTTTGAAAAAAAAATAATGGAGGAATTTAACGTATTTCAAAGAGTGAAAATCAATATAATTATTGATCATTTTGATCTTTTTTAATTTATATTTACCGCCCATAATAAAGTTCCACCAACAAGATGGTCTGGATGTCTTTGCACTAATTGTTTAAGAAAAGTTAATTTAATAAATCTGAAATCATGTGATATCGTTTAAATCACGTACCAACGATATTGGGATGCAGAGTTGACAAAGCTTGTTTACTATGGGCGGAATCCAAAGTTAAAGCTTGAGCTACTTCTTTGTAGACAACCACATAAATTTTAATCCCCTCTTCAGCTGTTTTTTTGAGGAGCTTATCAAGACGATACGCCTCAGTTTTGCTGGGAGGTCTGCGCATATACTCTGCATATATTTATAGACGACGATTATTTGATGAATTTGAAAATTAATCGTCATAAATTTGTGCAATGCACACGAATTATCCCTTTTTTTAAAGTTTGCTACTACTAACCAACTCTGGCGAAAGCCACCAATCCTCAATGAAAATTTCTTGCTTTGCATGATAAATAGCTTCAGATACAGCGAAGAAATAATCTCTTCCGTCAATATACCACTTTGCATGAGCGCCCCTTCTTGGAGGGGCGAAGGAGTCAAAACGATGTTTCTGAATGTTATTCACTGTCCCTTCACTAAAAAAATTTTCAACGGCACCAATAGCGGTACCAGCAACATTTCCAACGCTATCGAGAAAATTCATTATTCTAATTAAAAGACGTAAATTCCTTAATTAAATAATCATTATAATATAAAACTACTACTGCAATCAATTACCAACCAAGAAGGAAACTACAGGGGCATAAAAGTTATTCCCGCTCGATTGCAAGTTTTTACAAGTTTTCGCAAGTTTTTACAAGTTTCAGGTTACGCAAACTCGAGAGTAATTTACAAGTTAGTTCCATTGACTATTATTGTTAGTTAATTCCGCGCTAATCGCTTTTTTTGCTTCCATTTGTGGCAAAAGAATTCATAAAAAACCAAACAATGCATGATCCACTTTCTTGGCGTATGCTAGTGTTGAAGTTGTGGGACAAGCCCAAAATGTTGATTCACCATTTGCATGTTTGGTGTCGATCTCCGCACGTGATTTCACACGAACCGAATCACGAGTTAGGACTGTCACCCGGTTCGTCTTGTCGTTAACGGGACGAGATCAAGTTCAAGAAGATAGTTACTTAAATATATAGTGATTAGAACAAGATAAACAAAAGTGCGATTTATTATATAAAAATCTATTATTAAATTTTTTTA